CATTCACTATTAAGAGTTTACTTATGAAAGCATGAAAACCATAACCTACCTCCACCGAAGAATTGGAATCAACAAGCAATTGCCCAAGCTTTGATATTCCCTCTGCCTCTTGATCGATCAATTTCTCTCTCTCCTTGTTCTCTCTATTTTCTTTATTCAAACCCTCTTTCTTTTACCCTAGTTAACATATAATTAAGTGTAAAAGATGGCCATAATACCCCACTAATTAACCCAAAGTGACCTCTTTTATCCCTCAAGAATTTTAGTTATTAATATAACCCCACGAAATCTATAATTAAGGAAAGAATAGTCCCAAAACGTCCCTTAAAACGTGTAAGGAAATCCGATTCTGCCTGGGATTTGTGCAACCTGTGACGGGCCGTCGTGCCTGCGACGGTCCGTCCTGCAGGTCGTCGCAAGGGTCAGAGAGTCAATTTCCACTGAACAATTTATGACGGTCCGTCACGCCTGTGACGGTCCGTCCTGCCATTCCGTCACGAAGTTCAGAGAGTCGATTTTGAGTACCCAATTTCAGATTTTCTAAGTGTTTTGAAACGAGACCCTGCGACGGACCGTCGGGTCCGTCGCTTCTGCCAGTTTTTCCAGAATTGGAGTCTGTTGCTCCAAACGACTAAACAGGTCGTTACAATATTGATAATTTGTTAGTAGAATACTAACCAACTTAAGATGTCAGTAAAATATGTTGACAATTAGAGATTTTTTTATAGTGTACGATCTCGAGGTGTTTGGAAGTGACTTAGACTATTGAGTTTATATGTAGTTTTCTTAAAGTTAAGTAATGATCACGATCAATATTATCTCCCTTTATGCAAGATGAGAATTTATAACCAGGGCAAGGAATTGTCAAATAGTTGTATTTCCTTGGGTCACGTCGACATGATTTTTTCCCTTGGTGGGTAAAAGGGCAAGATGTCCAATCGCGACTATAAAGTTTTGAGCACTTTTTTACATTATAAATGTAAATACGAAAATTTGCATACTCATATGAATTTTGACTAATGAATTCCGGAAATTTTTGAAGATTCGCCTCTTGCCCAATTATTATTTGTGAAATGGAAAAGATGATGAATAGTAACTGAAATATCGACTATTTCTATAATCCATTTATTGGAATGGTAAAATTGAATAAATATACAATAAAATGCAAAGAAAAAAGATTAATATACTTGCAAACAAATGAAATAGTCTACACAAATAGAAAATCAACTTTCCAAAATTAGAATAAAGAAAAACTTTCTAATGTACCTAATATAGAAACTTTATAGATACTTTTCACAAATACAAGAAGATTGTTTCTTGTAGACTAGGAGAGTGAGTGTGAAATAGGTGCTTCAATAATAAAGTTATAGATAGCTTGAAACCAAGTGTAATGTACTCTAAGTATGCAATTATGTACGTCTATTTAGTATTTTGTCCATTCAAAATTTGTGACACACTTTTTAATAAATTAAATCGTAAATTTACTTTTTCTTTCTTTTACACACACAAATATATATATATATATATATATACATACATACATACATACATATATATATATATATATGTATATATAGCTAAGGAGCCTATTACATGTTATTCCTCAAGAAGATAAAATTTAATGAAATTACTATTGGGTCGATTTTATCAGCTTCAGCTTTATTTCTCTGTAAGTTAAGCCATCAAAATTAGAACAAATTGTATTAGCAAAAAGGGTGATCAAAATAATTGACACAATCCATTACTAACCTTAGAGAATTTTATTCACATAGCATGTCTCTATTCTCATTAATACCTTTGATGACTATGCAATTGATATAACGTAGTAAATGAGTACAAAATCAGTTTTGAAAAGAGCCGAAAGGCCAGCAGTGAGGGAGGACTAATATAAAACGATAAGTCCAATTTCAATCAAGCGGCAATATCCCCAAACAATCCAACGAACCAAAATTTAAAACTTCTGAAAAAGAAATTGAAAGCAAGACACAAAAAAAAGAATTAAAGTCTAGACCAAACATAAGAAAATAAAACAAATTACCTGAGAGAGAGAGAGAGAGAATTGAATTTTGTTTCAGAAAATCTGCTTATTAGTGAAGGAAGAGGAAGAGTATATAGATGTTGGATTACAACTTTTGGCAGCAGTACAGGTGGCTTGCTCACCAATGAACCTAGCAATACACGTGTTGACAGAAAAAGCTATGATGAAGTACACGTGTTGGATACACTCCACTTCTAAAGAATATAAAATTAATAAAGCATATAGTACAATAGTTATTGCATGTGTTCGTCCTTCAAAGCCTCAAAAATCAGTCATCGAACATTATCAATATACAAAATATCATACTATAGATCATTTTTAAAGGAAAATCTATTATAGGGATACAAAATTTAATAATTGAGAAAAAGAATACAGAGTGTACCTGAAAGGCTTAGAAATAGCACATAAATTTTATCTTCAATAATATCTATATATTCTGCATAAGACAACATGAAACTCAAGTGAAGCTACACAATAGAAGACTCATTGAAAAAAGCGGAAAATTTAATGTGCTTATTCCTTTAACATTACAAAAGCTGATCAAACATAGATTTATTTATATCATCTCAAGATAATATATTTCACATAAAAAAAATAATTCAACCGTAGAAGCAATATTGATGATACTACGACCTTATCTCCAAGACAATCTTTATATGTAAACAAGTCCAAACCAAATAGGATTATATTTTGGTTCCATAAATTAAAACTCAAACTTACAATAAGATGTCAGCCACAAATACCCTTGAAATAGAAAAAAATCAAATATTATATCAAGCATTCAAATAAATGTGTTTCCAGTACTGTTAAGAGTTTTAAGACAATCTAATTCTACTTTACCTTAATCAATCTTCAATTGAGAATATTTGGCTAGAAAAAGTAAAATTCATATGACATATAAAACATGCCTCAGAGCTACATAAACTATTAAAAGTGAGAACTCATCCAAAACAAGTAACTATGAATCTTTCTTGTAGAGGAGAAAAGAAGTTAAACATATTTTTTAGAATAATCTACACATACTATAAATTTTTTTCTTTCTCACTCAGTTTCTGATATTCACATTCATATTGGGAGGAAGTCCCACATTGGGAGGTAAAGGGCTCCTTAATAAAGACAAAGAAAACTCGAACCTGAGATTTCTTGATTAAGGATGAAGGAGTACTTAGTCCTCCATCACAACCCTTGTTGGTAACACATACTTTTTTTTATTACTATTAATAACCAATATGTATCTAAAAAAATATTTCCATTGTTATAGTCACCAGAATCAACTAAAAGCTTACAACGAATATCAGATTTGCTTGTCCATTTATGAAGTGTTACAAAATATAGCAAAAATTCATTTGTGGAATAGTAACAAAGAGTCATTTCAGTTGTATTCTCAATATGAAAGTATGGTTGAGTTATAAGTTTATTCACCCTTTTCGTCTTCATTATAGTATTTATTGAAGCAAATGTGCATCAGATTTGTATCGCAAGTGGAGAAAGACAAAAGTTAAATCAAATAATATTGTAAAGAAAAATCATTCAAAAGACAATAGATAAATCAATTACATATGTACCTTTTCAACAGTTTCTTTTTACATTATCCTATCATTTTTGTGGATCCAAAAAGTTTGTTGACATTAAAAGTGCTTATTTCACATTCAAAAGACAGATGAATGAAAAATAACAAAACATGAGAGAATTATGACTTATTTTAAAAAAACGATCTGATATTACCATTCAAATCACTTCATGATTTATGCAATCTTCAACTAATTGATCATTAATATGTTGCTTGAGATCTGCTGAAGCAATTAACGAAATAAACAAAGAAAAATTTAACAATAAAATTTAAATCAAAAGACCTTCTATAAACACAAATCACAAATGGAGAGAATTTCAACATTACTAGACTATCTTGGTGAAGTGCTATTTTCCTTCTCTTCTTACTAGTCTCAATTTTATGTGCTATACATTTGTCATGTAAATAGTCTAGCAACAAAAGTCCCAAATACAATCTTATTATTTATTTGCATTACGACAATTCCCAATTCAATTACTGTTAACCTTGTTTACAATTTTTAGCAATGATTAAAATTTGCTTGAAATAACACATTGGGACTTAATTAAGTAATCAAATGTTTTCAACTATAATTCCAAACAAATGTTTACATGTTCAATAAAGAAATACACATATGAAAATACTTAGAAATGAAGCTTACCACTAATGGAACCGCCTTGATTCAAAGGCAAATATCCAAAGAACCTATTACACGTTATTCCTCAAGAAGATAGAATTTCATGAAATTACTATTGGGTCGAGTTTTATCGGCTGCAACTTCATTTCTCTATAAGTTAAGCCATCAAAATTAGAACTAATTGTCTTAGCAAAAAGGGTGATCAAAATAATTGACACAATCCATTACTAATCTTAGAGAATTTTATTCACATAGCATGTCTCTATTCTCATTAATACCTCTGATGACTATACAATTGATATAAAGTAGTAAATGAGTACAAAATCAGTTTTGAAAAGAGCTGAAAGGCCAGCAATGAGGGAGGATTAATATAAAATGATAAGTCCCATTTCAATCAAGCGGCAATATCCCCAAACAATCCAACGAACCAAAATTTAAAACTTCTGAAAAAGAAATTGAAAGCGAGACACAAAAAGAAGAATTAAAGTCTAGACCAAACATAAGAAAATAAAACAAATTACCTGAGAGAAAGAGAGAGAATTGAATTTAGTTTCAAAAAGTATGCGTATGAGTGAAGGAAGAGGAAGAGAATATACATGTTGGATTACAGTTGGTTTCAGCAGTACACGTGACTTGCTTACCAATGAACATAGCAATACACGTGTTGACAAAAAAAGCTATGACGAAGTACACACGTTAGATAAACTCCACTTCTAAAGAATATAAAATTAATAAGGCATGTAGTACAATCGTTATTGCATGTGTTCGTCCTTCAAAGCCTCACTTCTAATAAAGAGTAATATTAGGGACATGTATTTTAATTAAGACAAAAAATATTTACTTAAAAGTCCGCATTATCTTTCTATTTTAATTTGTTTATCTAATTTTGTTTGATATGAAATTTAAAAAAGTAATATTGTCATTTTAAACTAAAAATATGTAGAATATACTATTTAAAATATTTTTATAATCTTAAACATGACATGTGAAAAGTTATTATTATAAAATTATTAATAAAAATCTAATTTTTAAAATAAAATATTTAAATTAAAATAGAAGAAGAATTAATTAACTAAGGCATGAAGATTTTTTTCATAGTATTTTAAAAAAGAAATTTGGAAAGAACTACAATACTAATTGACCCTTCAGTAGAGTTCCACATAAAATATTGGCAATCAGTCATTAGTATTATTTGGTATCCTATATTTTCATATCAAGAAGTCTACTTGTCCTGCGTTGAAGAACATAAATGTGAGTTGAGGCCACGTTAAAAGGCACGAAACTAAAGTACCGAACTAAAGTTTTTCTAAAATTAGGTTTTAAGTTTAACTCTAACCCCAAAAGGTAGCATAATGGAAGGAGGTTCGTCCAAGTCTTATAAAGAGTTCACCCATCTCATTAACCGCCAATGTGAAAACTTTTGTCATTGTTTAACAAGTTGGATTTGCCAAATTACTTGCCAAGTCAAATTTTAAAAATTCAATTTTTAATATCAACTTTTTGACTATCAATTATTTTCCAAACCAAAACTAAAAAATCTCGAGTTGAATACCAAACGTCCAAGGAAAAAGAAAATATAATTATTTAGGGTGACAGGTAAAATCAATATAACAAATCAATAACTGATAATGACATTGTATGCGTGGATTGCTGTAGTTGATTAATAATATAAACATCTATATGATGAATTATATGACAAGTAATATATGACGGAAATTTGGTTTTTTTAAGTTCTTTATAAATTTATTTTTAATTTTGCTTCATTTTTAGGAGGTTTTCATCTTTTTACCTAAGAGATTTTTTTTATAAAAAAATCATTTTCTTTTTTTAATTTATAAGTTATTATAAGAGGTCATTTTAGCCGAAAGAACTATTTAAAATTATTCTACTTAGAGCAAAACTCTAAATTTTAACCAAACTAATAAATCCTATATTTTGTAATGACACATTGAATAAGTCTGCATTTGTGGCCCAAGAACCACCATTGCGAGGTCCCTAATATGAAGGGATTTTTTCAATAAGATAATGACAATTACCTAGCATAAAAAAATATGTGACAAAATGTAACTATTCGTTGGAACGTGATATAAATGATTCGGACATGTGTAGAGGAGAAAAAGGGTTAATGCCCAATAAAAAGGTGCGAGAGGCTAGTTGAAAGAGGTACGCAAGGAATCGGAGTAGAGGTAGTCTGAAAAAGTATCTGGGAGAGGTGATATATTAATCATGACATTGCGCAATTTCATATCAATTATCGAGGATATGAAGATCTAGATAGGAGTTGAAAGAGTGCAGGTCGAATATTAGGGTGCAAGGTTAGTAGATGTTGTTGTGATGCACGTAATTAGGTTTAGGTTTGCTGATACATGTCGTAGATCTAGTCATACCCTTGTAATTCTAGTCATATATTGTTTATTGTGGTTCGGTTGTTACACTATTTTACTATTGTTATTGTAATTCTTTCATGTAGACTTTAATTAACAATTATATGTGTTTTCTTTATTATTTTATTCTTTTGTTACTTGGATTTGACTCACCTAAGCAGAAAGTCTTTCAAAAACAGAATATCTACCTTCACGATATAATAATAAGGTCTAAGTATATTCTATCCTTTCCAGACTTCATCTAAGGATTATACGAAATATAATGTTGTAATTTTTTGTGGTTTCTATCTTCTTAGTTGGAAGAATCTATATAGGCTAACCGTTCCCTTTAAAAGACTAGGCTTTAGTTTATGTAACCCAATTCTGAACTTTAAAGGCAAGGCTTGTATCCCTATATTATTTTTTTTGTAATTTCTGTTACATATATGTATTGACAATATGGTAGGGTGCAAAGCCTAACTTTCCGCACCCAAAGGCACCATACCATAGAAGCAGGGACGGACCCACGTGAGTTTCAGGAGTTTACTCGATTTTCTCGATAAAAAATTACATTGTATGTATGAGAAGGTAAATTTTTTGTATTAATATAGATACTAGGAAAACTGTCCGCGCTTCGTGCGGTGATAAACTACATCAATTAGCCTATCTATGATCAGTAGTAACATTTGTACTTTTTGGGAGTACACTGATTTGTCAAGAATATTTGATTTCATTCCCTATATTTATATTTATCTTTTTCAAAGTAGTTAATAACATTTGATTCATCAATTTTGAGAATTTTTCTCCTATGAAAGGTCTATTGATACCTAATCCAAGTGTTGTGTGTCTTATTGAATTTGTTGTGTAGCTGATAAATTTAATAAACACAACAAATCACATACTTTTTAATTTGATCAAACAACATATGTTCCTTTGGATTAAATAATGTTTCAGTAAATCATTTTATTTATATTCATCCATTATCGTTGCAATAATTCCCCAGGCCATAGACATTGGGATCTGCAAGGGTAGAGCGGACACTTACCTTACCCCTACGTAAAAAGCTTGTTCGCAAAAGACCCCATGCTCAGATAACACAAAATAAAGTAGTAAATACGAATACAACAATAAATACAACATAGAAAAAAATTTCAATTTGGATTGTGAATAATATGTCGGATGTAAGGCAAGACTACTGCGACCCTTGTAAAAGTGTGCAAATTATGAAAACCTTCCCAGGAAGTACCCATTTAAGAAACTTAGGAATAGTAATTACGATGTTCATAAATTTACGGCCCGGAAGAAAAGTTAGACCCAATATATACATTTGTTCTATTTTAAGTAGACAAAATTTAAATCTCGTTGAGTTATCATGAACTGAAAACATAGTGTTCTCTTAAAACACGACTTAAGACAATGAGATTTAATATAATAGGTGATTACCTCCATCAGCTAGAATTGGGGAATCGCAGAGATTAAAGTAAATTTTATTTTTTCGAAGGAGACCAATAAAAATTTTGATTTAGAGATACACTTTTAATATTAGAGGTAAAAGATCTCTTCAGGACGGTATTAAATTCAGTAGCATAGTTGAATCCTCGTGAGCTATCAGGTAACTTAGCATTATACTCCTATAAAGTGATGGACAAAGTTTCCCATAAGCAACCTTTCAAGACCAACCCAAAATAGTCTTCGGTAATTGTTGCTAAGCATTTGTTTAGTGTTTAATGGTGATAGTGTTCAAGGTATGTTGGCATGAAAGAAAATGAAAATTAGGAAGGAGATAGGTATATTAAGGAAATGGGCCAAACATTTTTGCGAGAAAGCGGTGTGAATTTTCATGTGAAAGATATTGGGACGGGGAGATAAATTCTAATCAGCTAATGACAGTGAATGGCGCAACATCGATCATTTGATGTTGTGCTAATTGAAATTTAGCAGATGATTCAAGGTAGTAGTTTATAGTTTTAGTAGCGGACCCATGAACTTTTTTGAGTTTAAAATTACACTTTTAGCATGTTTTCTAAAATAGAAAACTAAAAAAATCGTGAAAATGGAGCTGAAACGTAAATAAAAAAAGAAAAAACTGAAACTAAAAATAATATGCTATCAAAGGGATTTGAGCCCTCAAGGTGGAGCTAAATTTGAGGGAGACTTACCACAGGGTTATCTGCTTGTCTTTGTCATTAAGGGGGGTCAAAATACAGTTTTCCTTACATCTCTTAAGATCGTCTAATTACAGCCAGTCAACGTAACCCTAATAACCAACCTTTCGCAAATGATCACTTAGTTGTTGGCTCCTCTCCTCTACACATATCAAAACTATATTAGTATCGCTTCTCTCATCTTGTATACTACAGAGCCCATTCCCACCTTCTCCGGGATAATGTTATATTACTAATCTTGCAGCTCCTAATATGTCTAAACATTTATCTTAATAACATCCTTATCTCCGCAACATACAACTTCAAAACATGTGATGATTTGTAGACTGAACAACACTTCATCGATAAAACAAAGATGATGATCTAATTAACCACCTCTCTATAAAACTTATCTAACTACGAAAAGAAAAAAAAGGGCTTACATGAATAGAGTGGAGACTTCTGAATCAATACTTTAATTTGAATTTTTAAACTAAAATATTATATTGTAACAGAAATCTCAAGAATTGAGTCATGTTTACCTTCAATATCACTAATCACCATATTCTACAATAGAAGAATAAAATTTTAGATTTCTATCACTTTTCCATAGAATGAAAAAGCTAATTGCACAAGTGTATGATATTTACATGTGAATCAAGATGGCAAAAAAAAAATATCATATCTAGTAAAATTTCACGAGTGGAATTTGGGGAGGGAAAATTGTACGCAGACCTTGATCTCTATCTCATGGAGATAGATATGTTATTTTCGAAGAATCATTAACTAGAATACAAGAATCATATTAGATATAAAAAGAAAATCGATAGAGAAGAAAACATATGAATTAATGTGAAAATAGTAACAATAAACTAGTGCAATGAACGAAACACCACAAACAATAGATAATGCCATAATTAAAAAGAAAAACATTAGATATATAATCTAATACTATGACATGCACCATCAAGCCTAAACTCGTTCAAAAGCAAGACAACACTCCATAATCTACTAACCTCCTACCCTGATTCTAGACTTCCACA